AGGAATCAGCCTGTCGTTCGTTCGAGAACGAAGTGAATCGCACAATGGTATTGTAGTTGCCCGGTCATCGACTTAGGATCGCGTAAGACACTATTTGAAAATTCGTAGCGTCAATGAAAGAAGACAGTTTGTCATGAAAAGTTACTCGAATTTTTAAATAGCTTCTTGTCTGTATTTTTCGAATGTGTTTTTTTAAATTTCAGCTTTTTATCATTATCTCACCGACAAGGAGAAACCTGTTCTATTAAAGAATTTAATATCCAAGTAAGAACAATATCTGACAGAGATTCATAATAAAAACGCCTGTGAACGCTTAAAATTTCACTAGAGAAGTAAAAAAAAAAAAAATTTCGACTGATCGTGTGGTTTCGATGGGGTTCCAGAGGTACTATGATGGCAATTAAGAGAAAAATAACGTACAAGACGATGAATTTCGGGACACCAAAGCGATCTAAAAACAGAAACCGGAAGAGTAACTCGAGCTAGAGCTCGATTAATGGATGGAACACCGAGTACTTCCCCCATGCTCCAGTTATTTATGGGATCTATAGGGTAGCAAAGCGCCACGTGGATCTATTGTCAAGAGATTTGTCATGGTGCACGTTCGAGAGGAGGGTATCATCGGGTTTGGAAATCTCGGTCGTCGCAACAGCACTTCAGAGTGAGTCAAGAACTTTATCTGTCGAATTGTGTATAGTTCTGTTGATTCTATTTGTTCAGCAAATCATAGATTTCTTACTGTTTCGAGTGTCCTGAGCGGTTGACGTGGGGATATTCGTCACGGGAATCGGCTCCCCGTATCCTCTGTCCGCTGGTTCCTCCTTCACCGCCACGTTCTTCGTGGTCTCGGTTGTCCGCGAGTTCATTTTATTGTTTCTATGCATGTAACACAAACACAAACATATTCCAGATCCTCTGTCTTCTTGAAGTAAATATAAATATAAATTTTTACAATAAATTTCATAATTAAACTGCGGATATTCAGACACAGTTGACTAAAGTACTATTTCAAATACAATTAATGCGGGGATGTGTAAATACAAATACGATCCTAGACTTTCGTACGTTCTTAAATTGGATACGAATTTTTTCAGTTCTTGCAATTGAACTTGCAGATATTTATACAAATTTTGTACAGCCGTGAAGAGAATTTAAAAAAAAAAAAATGTAATCTAGATAGAAAATTGATTTGCACATTGAATATTGTATTTCATTTTGTTTTTACTGCTTTTCACATACACTGTCGGCCATTGTTATTAGAATATTCTCCTCGTGTTTGAATAAAATGTGATATTTCACGTTTTCGAATAAAATGTGACGAAGCAAATTGAATGCCTTCGTTACATTCGAGGGCGCGTGTGATTTCAATTTTTTATAGATTCATAGTTTAGCGAATACAAATATGTCTCAATATTTATCCTAAAATCGGCAGTGTACGTTTACATAGTACATTCTCTGCATTCTCTGTTGTCTATTTAAAATTTTCAATGTTAAATATATATATTTGTTCTCCTTACCCGAAGCAATTATTGCGATTCTCTGGATCAAGATCGAGGAACGTGCTACCTTGTGAATGTGGATGGCTCACTGGCGTCTGATACTGCGAGTAATTAGTATCACTGATTCTTCTGCAATTCGCGGATTCTTGTTTGACACTGGCATCTGTAAAAACAAGACATTTTTCTTTCGTAATGATTTAAAATATAAAAGGCTGTACTTGAATCGTTAATTAAAACTTAAGTAACGTTAAATTAATCGATAATTAGTATCACTGATTCTTTGGCAATTCGTGGATTCTTGTTTGACACGGATGTAAGAATTTCTATACTCAAGATACAAAGGTATGGCTACACACCCGCGCCACTAATTAAAACTTCAGTAACGTTAAATCAACCAATAATTAGTATCGTTGATTCTTTTGACGTATCATGTATTCACCTGTCCTCTGTATTTTGAATTTACAAAAGAATGTAGCATTTTGACAATCTCGAATTAACTAATATAACTGATATTAAATTATCCAACGTAACTAGATTAGCCAACGTTAAATTGTTTTCTTACCAGAAATCGTCGAACTGACTAGTGAACGCGCTGACTAGAAACATCAAGGGTGAATAGATGTTCGGATGGAGAAACGCGTTTGGAGAACGATAGCGTCGCGGATGTACAGACGAACGGTCAATGATTTTAACGATCGAACGTCGATGGTTTCTTGGGACGAAGATGAACAGGGCGAGGACATAAGGGCGCGTGTCGTTGCGGAAGCAAAGGCGCATCGTTGCAGCGGCACGTGGGGGGATCGGTTCGCTTCCTAATGGGGCCGTCGACGATTTTGCGCGGCGGAGGGTGCGCCCTCGATAAATCAAACAGGCTCTGGCCGTGGGAAGCATAAGTCAGAGGCCTCCGGCAATCATTGTATTTGCAAACATCGGAAGTTTACTCGCTACGGGAGAACCACCGATTCGACCGGTCAGAAAGAATCGTACAGTTTTACGTGCAGCTTGTGAACATCTCGTCTCGCGATGGAAAACAATGTTT